AGCTGTAACATCGCTGTTCGCGGTGATGTTTCTCGCTTGCTGCTCCATCCTTCCGAGCCCGTGGGGTAGGAGCCGACCCCAAGAATGCAGAAAATCTACCAATAACCTCCGACGCTTTGGTGGAAATGGCCGCCGTTCAATAGGTGGAGAGCTTTGCGTCGCGACATCAGCTCGTGGCCTCTTGCCCCACCGGGGGAATGGGGCCGCACCAGTCGAATTGCTCCATCCACTCACCACTATAGTTGCTGGGCGTGGGGTAGGAGGCCGCAGCTCCACCACAGCCTGACCCAGCACTCGCTCCACACCGACCACCTATGCACGAACGGCTTGGACTGAATCATGATGCTCGCAGCGTCATCAACAATCAACGCCATGCCCGGCACGATGAGGACATCCATCAAGTGGCGGTGAGAGCAGGCGGCACGGGCCCTGGCCTGACCATCGAGGAGTACGGGGACACGCATCCCAGGCATGGTGGCCGACCAAACGACCGGAGCCCTAGCCTGGATGGCCTAGGGCTATGAGCCTTTGGTCGTCGCATCCAGAGAGCGTCGTTCCCACAGCGCTTCCGACCACCCACCAACATCGCCAGATACACTGAGGAAATGAACCCCGGTATATGGCTCGAAGACTTTCGGCTCACCTGTCGAGCCAGAGGAGTGGATGATGACCACTTCATCATCCAGTATCTCCCTATCTGCGTGGGGGAGCATGTTCGAGCATGGCTCGAATTCCTCCGCTAGAGACAAAGTACCATCGAAGTCGGACTAAGGCGGATCTCAAGAGGGTCTTCGCGTCGAGAAATTTTCAAGGGACATATGTCCGTCAGAAGAAGCGCCTCACTAGGAATTCCTCGAGACCTCAAGAGCTACCAGAGAGCTAACAAGTCCTTGTTGGTTTTGGATTACACCAGGTGTAGGTTCTCAAATTGGTGCAACTCCATTGTGTACCTTCAACATATGATGTCGTTGACGGACGTCAGCTCACACATGTGATGCGTTCCTCTTAATGGGACATTGAGTCTGTGAGTCCTTGATCCACAAACTCATTTGCAAGCCTAAAGCCCCATACCACCCGTGACGCTTCGACGCCATCCAAGGTGAACCATGCCTCAAAGAAGGAGGCGGTCTGGATCGATGTTGACATTGGTCGTGTTGGGATGTGTTGCATCAACATTGGAGGAGATGCAAGGCCAAGCGCGAGGACCAAGGCGAGGGCCCCTCCATGCAAAAGGGCAAGAAGAACAAGAAGGATTGTCGCGCCGACCGCCAACCCAGCTTTGGTTGCCATAGCTGATCGTCGGCGGGACAAGCGCTTGGAAAAATAGAAGCCTATTTTCTATTGCTACCGACCACTTCAACAAGCTCATGGAGAGTCCATGCACCAACCACGCCTAACCTGTCAAGCACCTCTACAAGGACCGCAATTTGGAGTGTGATCTCCTCAAGCGCTTCAGCGTCCGATGCGACAAAGCTAGCAAGCCAAAGGAAGGGAAGGGCAAGGAGGAGGCGCTGCCAAGAAAGGAGGCATGGGGTCTTTAATGCCATCGGGCGGGCAAGGATGATGATGGCAGGCCCCGACCCGAGGAATGCCTCATGATCTAAATAGGGGTTCCGCCACCATCCACCTCAAGGGCTTAGTGTCCATGCTTGTGAGGTACTTGGGAGCCTCCTATAGAGAGGTATGTACCATCAAGTGAGTGGACGTGCCCTTCTTTCATTAGTGGCAATAGGTGGTCGGACTCCCGATCACTTTTGATCAAAGAGACCATCCTTCCCACGTCGAAGCCCGCCGCGAGCGGGTCGAAGTACTCACTCGTCGGAGTCGACCCCATCGCTACCCTGTAAGTAGCGCCACCACCAAGGGCTTAGCGGGTGATGCTGATGAACCACCAAGTGTGGCGGCCTCAACATTCTTACGTCGACACCCTCAACGTCGTGTCAACCTTGTTCTTCCGCATCCCCATTACACAAGAGCTACTTATATATATATCTTAAGCTTGAGTAGGCTCTCCCTAATTACCTTCTTGCATGTAGCACGATCCTAGGGATGCTAATTTGGTTTTAGTAACCTTGTTAGTCCATTGCTTCCAGTGTATCGACATGCCCATCACGCTTGGCCCGATTGAGCTAACTTCCACTTGTGAGGTCCTCACCTAAAGTACTAGGTGGTGGACTTTCTAGAGGTCCTACCACACCATCTTGTAGTCTTGGCTAGACCGATTGGCGCCCATGCTACGCCAAGTTCATGGCGATCCCCAACCACACCTACCTCAAGTTGAAGATGCTTGAGGTCCTCACCTCGAGGTGGGACTAGGGTCCTACCACACCACGATGTCATCAGTTCATGGCGATCCCCAACCACACCTACCTCAAGTTGAAGATCTGGGACCGAACGATGTCATCACTGTGTGGGTAGCACCTTTTCAAGCATACGCTTACGCATCATGAGCCATGACATTCGAGCTGCCGCACACGGCCGTCATCAATTCCGCTGAGCTCCTGGAGCTCGGGAATTTGTTGACTCCGGCAGTTCCAGACTTCAACGAGGCGACCTCCTGAATTTTAAAAATAAAGGTCCTGAATTTTAAAAATAAAGTTTTAAATTACAAAGTTTAAATCTTAAAGTACTAAGTTTTAAATGCCAGTATAAAGTTCCTGAGTTTAAAATGTAAAGTTTGGAATTACAAATTTTAAACCTTGAAATACAAAATTTTAAATGTTCTAGTATAAAGTTTCTCAATTGTAAAAATAAAGTTTGAAATTATAAAGTTTTATGTCTTAGAGTATAAAGTTTAAATGTGCTAGTATAAAGTTCATGATTTTTTACAAAAATTGAGTTACAAATTTTAAATCTTAGAGTACAAAGTTTTAAATGGGCCAGTATAAAGTTCCTTAATTTAAAATGTAAAGTTTAAAATTACAAAGTTTAAAATCTTGAAATGCAAAGTTTTAATATGCTAGAAGTTTCTGAATTTTGAAAATAATATTTTAAATTACAAAGTACAAAATTTTAAATGTGCTAATATAAAGTTCCTAAATTTCAAAGTTTGCTCGTTAGATGGAAAAGCTTTTTATTCCAACCAATGATTACATATTAAATATTTCTCTCTACTATGTTTTTCAAATTTGATTTCTGTCATTTTGTGTTCTAGCTTGTTAATTATACTTACTCCCCCTGTCTAAAAAACACAATTGTAGCTTTAAACCTAGACACATGCAGTATCTAGGTTCAAAGCTAGAATTGTATTTTTTGGACGGAGGGAGTATATATGTAAGTGAAACTATCCCCTGCCCTTTCACTACCCACACACCCGCTATCCTGAAAGAGAAAATAAATAAGCTGGAGTAAAAAAAGTGGCTCGCAAAAAACTAGATATGAGAACCGAAAATAGCCCAACATAAAATAGGCTGAGATCACAGGACAAAAGATAACTAAACTCGAGAAGCTAAATGGATCTGGAAAAAAGCTAGACAGGGAACCAGACTTCAGAAATGATGGGCCGAAACTGGCAAATCGGAATCGGTGCAACTTCCCTCCGTGTCACTACCGCGCCGAGCACGCGTGCGTCGGTACTCCTCATCACGCGCGCGTTCAGCAAACCTAGGAGCCCGACGTCAACTTCAATGGGCTGGAGTGGGTTAACTAGGATTAGGCCCATTTGCTAGTTGTCCATGGAAGCACGGCTGTTGTCTTCTGTGTATAGCTTTCTTTTTACTGAAGATGAACTTGGCTTGGTTGGCGTCGGCTGTTGGCGGCTCAAGTTGCCGGCGACTGACCAAATCCGCCATTTTTTATCCAGATACATATACTACTTACTTTAGTCCCGTGATTATGTCCTTTCATCTCCTGCCCTGCATAAGGTTACAAGAGGCCGGGAACCTTAATCACAATAATAATAAATGTGTAATACCCCGTTGCCACCGGTGGATGTGGATAGGACGTGAGGAGATCTACAGCTCTGATTGGAGAAGCCCTAGGAAACTCCACTTGTCTCGTCTTCCAGATTTGCGTACCATAGAAGTGGTTTCCCAAACCATATTACTCATCATCATCTGCGTTTCGGGCCGGCCATTTGGATACATCTGAATCATCTCTCTTGCTTGGCATAAATAGCTCTTTGATCCAATGCTTCTTCAGAGACGCGCGCGACACATTTCGCTTTTGAGCGCCTGACGCCATCTCCAGTTTCCCAGATCTGAGCTGCGGCAGTTGAGAATTCAGAACGGAGCCGGATTCAGACCGACAGTTAGCATCAGTTGTATTGGATACCATGAAAGAGAGAAATCCAAGGATTTTCAGGCCAATGATCTGTTGAAGACGAAGCACATGGAATCTAAGCCGGTGTTGCGCTCATGTAGTAAGCCTAGGCTTGCAGAGCTCTTTGTATTTTCTTTTACTGCTCAACAGGCAGCTGACTTTTGTCAAAAAAAAAAAAGGCAGCTGACTGATGCTGACAGCTTTTTCACGACCGTGCCGAAGCACGTACTTCAAGAGAAAAGAAAGTACTTTCAGGGTAACTTACACAATGGGCAAAAATAAAAAAAGAACAATTCTGAACAAGATGTCGGAGATTACAAAATGATCTCGACAGGTGCAAGTTTGAGTAGTTCAGTATTTGCAACCTCTCTGCAGGGGTGATAACATACATAGGGCATTAACACTTGACGGCCCCAAAAAAGGTTACCTGCAGAGTGTGGACTTTACAATGCTGCATCAGCAGACTACAAATCTCCTTTGCGTGTACATCTTGGGTCCTTTTGAGCACATAAGTAGTTGCCCTTACAAAACATGACATTGCCAAAAAAAAAACAAATAACCAAAAGAAGAAGAAAAACTTGCTGGAAGGGACCAGAACGATCATCGGGCAGCCGGTCCCTACGAACGTCATGTAACGAAAAAATCCAGGACTCAGGGAGGCCTGACGGCAGTCCCTGGAGAACAATAGTCAGACTCCTAACATTGCAATCGCTGTCCGACGCTGCTGCTGTCCGACGCTGCTACGGTCCCTTGCTGGCGAGCCTCCGCTTGTACCGCTTCAGCACAGAGGCCAGGTTCTCCTTCCCCTTGGGGAAGGCGACATCACCTGCTGCTGTGCCACTCCTGCCCTTGCGGCCCGAGACTGCAGTCTCCACATCCTTGATCATCTCCAGAACCACACCTGCAGTTGTGAAGGTGCCCCGGATTGGTATGGGGATGGGACCCATGGCTGTTAGCCCACTGTGGGGTGGACTATCGAGCACTCTGATGTCTTTCTGAAGACAAGCACATATGGTCAGAGCACTCCGAGGCTTCGAGAATGCAGGGTCCAAGATTCCCTGCATAAAATAAGTAGCATAAGAATCACAAAATGGATCATTATAAGTGAATGGGACAAACCCTAAAATTTTCGTTTTCTATATTAGGATACCATTTTTACTGTTTCCAAAATTTATCCAAACATAAAAGTTGTCATTTTCAACTGGCTTCACAACTATTTTCAACCATTTTTTGTTTTCGTTTATTTCTTAAGTACAGAAAAAACCCAAGCTGGTCGTTTTTGTTTTCTATATTGTAATACCATTTCCAACAGTTTTCACCCTTAATTGTAAGTACTAAAAACTGAATATTATCAATTGCAAGCAAAAAAATCTTACACACCAAAAATGAGCACGAAGTTAAATTAGTTCAGGGCCATAACAACTCACCTGAAGACGGTTAAGGACATAGGTATACTTGCCCCAAAGTTCTGGTCTGCTTTCCACTAGAGACATGTCCAGCACTCGGTGGATGCACCAGACACCAAAACTAACAACGAGTGATGCGCGCCAAACACAGTCCTCCCCACAGTTGGGAAGTGTGCGCATGTATTGGATGCCCACCTGATCAGAAGTATGTTGCTGAAGATCACCATGAAGCAGTTGATTCTCAGTAGTCCCTTGCATCAATAGCTTCTCAGATGCAGCAACTCGGTCAATAAGATCTTCATCGCAACCACCATTTTGCTTGAACAGCCACCCTGATCCCTCTAGCTTAAGGAGCTTCATAATGCAGAATCTGAGGGACTGAAGAAGCTTCGTCTCAGATTCCTTATAAGAGAAATCATCCTTAGCCATGCCACCTGATCTGCCTGAAAGATTGAAGTCACCTTTACTGAGCTCTGCACTTGACATGCCAAACAATTGCTCAAATGGTTGCTTAGCCCAAAGGGATCTAGCACTTGGGCTCATGCTCGACTGCGCCGAGAAGATATCACTCTGGAGCTTAGGAGGTGAAAGCGCATCAAATGCTAATGGAGCCGCAGGCCTGGCTGTTGAGTTTGCATATTGAGATCTTTCTGACGCCAGCCTGCTAAGGTATGACTGGGGTCCAATGGCACCACCCAACTTTGCTTCATTCAACAATGCAGCTCTAGTTGCAGCGATTATTCCAGACATATCAGGTGAGCTGTGGTACTTTTTTGAGTAAGCAGGCGAACCAGCATTTTCATTCCCATCAACAGTGGAAGGATCATAATACGATCTTTCAGGCATCATTGAGCCTACACGGGATGTTGCAGGAATCTGTGAAGGAGTAGCACCCAGTGAAGCAAGCAGATTATGATTATGAGCATTCATCATGGAATCAACATAGGTTGGCACAGCAGACACAGATGATTTTGGAAGCCGCTGTGGGTCCAGTGGCATGCTAGAGTAAGGGTTTCGGCTGGCATTCATCTGTTTCAAGTAAGATGTGAGCTGGTACCCATGAATTGTTGCAGGTTGGTAGAACTGATTATTGTCTGAATAAGATGGTGCACTAAAATTTGAGTTTAATCTTGCACTTTGCTCAAGTAGGCTATTGCTTGAGCTCTGCAGCTGTGTATTTGGTAGCTGCATACCCTGAGACCAGCTTGACAATCCCATGCTCGGTCCTCTCTGAAGCCCATATGCAAGTTCCAAGTTCGATGTCTCATTCTTAGGAGACATCAGGTCCACTGAGCTTGACAAAAAAGCTGCCCCCAGCATCGAGTCTCTCACCAGTGGGCTCTTAGGTATTTCAACAGCTTGCTTATCCGTTCTTACAGCTGTGCTAGGTGTTCTAAGTTCTATCCCAAGCAAGATACCAAACTTTTTTGTGCTGGCTTCTTGAGTGAGCTTACCATGGTAATCAAACAGATGCCCCCAGAACTCATCAAGAGTAGCAGCCAGCTGCCTCCTTGCTGCACGGCCCAAACCGGATAACCTGGACAGACTACCATTGCCATTTCCTGCATCTGAGCCTTTTCCCCTGCTGAAGGTAAGAGATGGTGGACCATCATCAGACACACAAGAGGTGCTATCAACAATTGACTTCTCAGACTCCAAAGCATGCATATCTTCCTTATCCTTGCCTGAGAAAACATCTGTTTCTACTAAAACATCTCTTTCAGTCGTGATCCTAGAGACCACACTTTCTACTGTGCTTTCCTCTATCACAGTAGAAGTAGGAACCTTCTCCAAAGGCTCCGGCCAGTTGACTGCAACAACTGATTTAGACTCCTCACGAGTAAATGATGGGGAGGGGCAGGTTTCAGAAGCAGTGGATGCATAAGCAGTAGATTGTTGAGAGTCATGATCAGATTCTACAGCAGTGTCAGAAGTATCAATATAGTCCATGGCCAGTTCCGGATGGCTGTCAGGCACATCCCTGGGAGAAGGGCCAACATCTGATCTCTGATCTTCCTCATATGTAACATTGTCCACCTTAACATCTTCTCTTTCTTGAGGAGTATTCAAGAGTTCTCTCTGAGAATGCACAGACCATTCATGGGATTCGGCTTCATGACTTCCAGATCTCAATGGTGTAACAGCCAGGTACAGTGAAAAAGCCACAGATACACATGCAACTAAAACGAAAACAGTATATGGGAGCACTACAGGGCTTCCAGTATATCCTTTCAGATTGTTCATCCAGCCACTGTCGCCAAATAGCATTTCTGCCACAAATATGATATTTGAAAATAGCATAAGGAGAAATGCAAGAAAAACCAGTATCTCCAGATGCAAAGACACTCTATGGGCTCCCATTATTGATCTTGACGAAGCAACACGAAAAAGTGGGATGACTGAAGATGGAAGGAGCATGGCCTGGATAATCTGGCATATAATTAATAATTGGTATATCCCTTCAGCTCCTGCAACTTTCGCCCAGTACAGAGTAGGAACTATGGCAAAAGCCTTCAGTAGGAGATGATGTCCAGAATGAGGAAGGTTTATACCAAATAAATGCTGTGAAATCACTTGGCTACCGATAGCAGATGTCAGCGAGATGATATGGCTGGAGAAGAGAAGAACCACTAAAAACATAGTTGGTGCCAGAGGGTTTACAAATATCTGCAAAGTACTCAAAAGTTCAGTTTTCTATAGCGGAGTAGGATTGCTTCCTAAATAAAATTTTCAGCAGAAACTTAGCACAGAGCGTAAACAAGTACGAAATTTAGGTGCTTACCTGATTCATTAGCTCCACAACATCTTGGAAGGTAATGAGAAGAGTATTAGTAGATTCCGCTGCTGCGGAGTTCATTAGAACATAGTTCACCATAAAGATTCCAGTAAAAATGAACAATATTGAAAAAAGATGGTCGTGAAATAAGGCGCCAAAACCAACTGCAGATGACTTTTTCTGACCCTGCAAATACAATGTTTCTTGATTAAGAATGCGCACAGAAACTGAAGACAATTCAGCAAAAACAAACTACTGCAAGTGTGCAAACCGTCACTACTTTCATTTTTTTGCACATGTCCATATTATCCACTGAGCACGATGTGAAAAGTTAGAAATGGTACAATTTTGATGTTTTGTAATATGCTACACACCCAAACATAAGAAGCAAAATTTCAAGAAATGTCAAAAATTTCCAAAAGCTGAGCACAATGTGTACAGATGAACAAAGTGTGGATCCTATAGTGAAAACTTGTATGAAGTTATGCAAACAATTGAAACATGATTAATTACATCTTGTTTTATTTCGATGCAGTGTACCCACAATTCATCAAATTAATAAAAGAAATAATATAGTTTACAAGTCGTATCCAATATTCAACTGGCGTGAGCAGAAGTTCAATATAATGATCTCGCTGCTGACTCTTAGGAGTTTCCAAACTCCAGACAACAAGCCAAAATTGAAATACATGTAAATGTATGGTTTGAAGTATTTCTGGCAAGCCGTTGTCCACTAAATTTGAAGTCCAAGTGCACTAATCAAACAATTTACCTGGACAACTGATGAATGAATGTAGAAGTTGTGTGCCATTATGTTTGCGCCAAGAAGCGCCATCAGAGAGTAAGCACTCTCACCACTGATCTTGGGGAATATTACATTCATTGTGAGAGGAATTTGTGGCTGGCTAACCAATAAGCCAAGCACATAACTAAGAAGTGCAAATCCTGCTATGCAGGCATTTACTGTCCCTTCCATCTTCTTTCCCTAGAGCAGACATAATGGGTAAGTAACTAGCAAACATAAAGTCACATTAGTTTTTTTTTAGATAAGGGAACAAAGTTCCAGCCTCATTAGTGTATCAGTGTCTGTGCAAGTATCCTTCTTGAAGTAGTAATCTTACCAGGTGGGATATAGCATATGGTAGCAGATTAGGCACCACTGTTGCAAAGCATATCCCTGTGATGAGATCATCATATTCAAACAGGAGGTTGAATCCAAGTGCTATGCCAAAAATCTGAAAATTCCAGATATAGCCACCAGAATCTAGCATGTCAGAACTACATCATGTAACATTGCCTTACAGGATGAGAATTCACAGATTAAACATTAAAAGATATGAGAGACATCCAAGGAAGTGTGCAAATACCATAGTCAGCTCTGATGTCAACAAGGACAATCCAGCTTGAACACCTAGGAAAATACATGTTGGCTGGTTGTACTCTTGGTGGCATATCTTTGTTTCATGTGAAGGCATGAAAAAGTTAGCAACTTCAAAGGAATATCATGAACAAGTAAGATGAGATAAAGATTTATTCTCCTCCAAAAAGAAGCCCTTCTACATCCAGTAGTATTATAATTGAACTATAGATGGAAAATAATTATTTAAGAAGGCAATTAAATTGATACATTTTGTTTATCAACAATCTGCATAAATTGAATAGCTCATACTTTCCCTAATCCCTAGTCTTCTAAGTTCCTTCAGGTCCAACTCAATATCTAACCATCATATAGCGTTGTGAAATGAAAACAAACATTTACTGAACTAAATCTCAAGAGAAGGCCAGCAAAACCAAGGAACATCGGTAAACCGATACCTCTGCAAGATTCTTCCCTGTGACAGTGCCAATGCATGCAGCAAGGTACTGACATACAATGGCAGTGAAGTTGAAAAGGAGAGCCAGCAACACCAGGTCGAATCCAAAACGAGAACCAGCTTCAACGGCTGCTACCCACTTCCCAAGATCAATGTACCCCATTGAAATCAGGAGTGCTGGTCCAAGGGCATGGAAAAACTTAGGCATACCACCCCTTGACTCCATAAATCCCATGCTCTGTTGAACATCCGTGGCATCCATGGTACGGCAAAAAAGAGGATGCCTTCCTGCGCAGCCGCAGATCAGTAGGAAACCGTACCAGTAAATAGAGAAGCAAACAGTACCCAAACTATAGTCTCTCAAACAATCCTGCTATTATTCATACAACCAGTGCACTGCATACAACATCTGATCAAAACCCCCGATGCCTGACACCACTGATCCAATCATCTGCATAGGAACAATCCACAGCATTTAGGTACCTCCGGTTCAAGCAGCTTCATGGCAAGTGAACAGCCAGATATGGATAGTAGTTCTCAGTTTCCTTCTCCAGAAATAGCAGTGTGTACTAGGCAGTTTATGCACCACAAGGAGGTTTTCCCAGGAAGAAAACAGTACAAAAAGGTTGGATTTTTACCAAGAGGTCAGCGGATCTTTGTGCCCAAGGAAGCAGTAAAACCTAGCTTGTCTGCCTGCAGATAGATCCAAACAACCCAATCAGCAACAAGAACCGAGATCCTTCAGGCAAAGAGAACCAACTTTTAGAGCGCCAAATTCAAAGGGAAAGGGAAAAGGAAATCGCAATTGCAACAGCAACCAGAGCATAAAAAGGGCAAACCAAGAACACCTTTTGACCGAGTACCAACCAAATCCATCAATAACATCGAAAAATGCATTTATTTCGCATGGGAAAACCACAAAAGCTTCCACCTTTAAGCCAAAACTTTCTTCCTAGGCGTTTCCCGACCCCAAGCGTAAGTTTCATATCTTTCTATTTCTTCCAAGGCCGCCATAGGCTTCATTCAGAACTCCAAAGGAGAAGAGAAAAGCAGCCCCAGTGAAACCAGGCACTCGCAAGTCAAAACATCACCAAAAAGGCAGGTGATTCCTATCAAGGATAGATAGGCTAAGCTAGCGCAGCAAAGCAAGACCCCCAGGGTTTGGTTTGCTTGCTCGATACAGTAGCAAGCTCAAGCTATGCGGCAGCGACGGAAAGCTCGATTTGGGTGACAGCTATCTCGACGGCGGCGGCGGGAGCTTAGGTTCTGGTCGAAAGGACCTCGATTCAGGTGATGGGGATCTCGATTGTGGCAGCTCGATTGAGTGTCCTGGCCTTAGGAAGCTCGATTTGGGCCGCACGGCTCCCTCGAGATGAGAAGCGTCGAACTGGACGGCGAAACAAGCACCTACCTCAGTCCAGGAGGCGCTGCTGACTTCGATTCGTGGGCACCGGAGCTTGTGGAGGTTGCAGCCATCGATCCCCCCATGTTGCAGAGCTCCGGCCGGGGAAAATCCTTGCCGAGGCGGCCGAGATTACCGGTGAAAGGTAGGTTTTTGCTCGCAAGCAAACGGGTGGCCTCGGATCTGATTCTGATCTTTGGTGTAGGGAACTAAAAAGTAACGAAAAATGAGATCGCTTCCTGGGGACCTGCTTGCTCTCGCAAATCGGCCGCGAGGGAGAAGCAGCCCAACGGGATCCACTGACCAAATCACGCTAGTACTCGCGTTCGGCTGCGTAGCTGCGGTTCCAACACGGCAAAAAAAAAAAAAAAATCGCAAGAGGAGCTCGAAAAAACAGCAAAAATTGCGGGCAAAAGAAGGGAGCAAACAATGCGAGAATCATACCTCTTGCTGCTGCTGGTAGGCGGCTAAGGTCTTGGGCCAATTAAGGGGGGGAAATCGATGTTTTTTTTCTCTGCCCTAGGGCCTCTCCTTATCTGAGGAAGAAGTGGGGGGGAAGGGGACGACGAGCTGCTGAGGCTTTCACCTTCAGCTTGCTCGCTGCTTCTTTTCTTATGTGTCAGTTTTTTTTTTTCTTTTTTTCTTTTCCCTTCCGTCTTGGCTTCTTCAGGGTTTTTTTTAATTAAATTTTCTTGGAAGATTATGCGCTTACTATTTCCTGCTGTCACGGGGTGACAACAGTGGGTTTGTGGACCAGCCCTGATTTCAAGAACTGTGGTGCTTACGCTTTTTGGGGAATTCTTGTCATTTGTTCAATTGCATTAACTTGCCGGTTTATAAATTCAGAAATGTTAAAAGATCGGATATATATAAATATAAAATAAAAGGGGGAAATTTTGAAGAATCTGAACATGGAACGTTGTCACAAAAGTTTGCAAGTGCTGAAGAAATTAATTAAGAATATAACTATAAGTAAGTACTACTGTATATAAAACCACAAAAAAATGATTGCATAGTGCTGGTTGCGTTCACTGTTTGGGATAGCATGAAAGCTTCAACGTGGCAACCTTTTGATTGCGTTGGACTTTGGGCACAGCCATGACTTTTCGGGAAAACGATCAGAGCTGTGATTGCCACTCTTAGTTACTTGGTTCGTGATCAAGATTGGTCCATACGTACGTACTAGGCCCCGTGCTAACCTGCTAGCTAATACTCCCCTTTCAATTGTTTTACGTGTCTACCTTTTTTAAAAGCTTAATACAATATTGGAATGACATGTCTAGCTTTTTTTATCTTTATTACAATATTTCTCTACCTTTTACTTGTAACTATATTTCTCTTCAAACCAGAGCCGGGCGCATGTGGCCCATGGTTTGTCTCCGCTTTAGTAACCACAATATTTGAACACCGAGTTTATTTAGCACTATTTTTCAGCCATAGAACAGTATTTTCTTTCACAACATTTCAGCATCAACATCAGTATAAACTAAATTTCAGCATAAACGAACAGGGTTATTTTGTTCTTGGTGTCTCATCTCATTTCAATTTTCTTCAAGCGATTTAGTGTGTGGTAGGTTGTTTGGTGTGGCAGAACCATCCGAAATAGCACGTTTTTGGAGGTGCTTGTCTTCCCCCAAACACTAAGCACCCCGAAAACTAGCTACATCGAATGGTTCCGTCAAGCACACCCCAATGGAGAACTCGAACAATCCACGTTTTTATCCAGAATCCAATAATGAGTACGAATTTACAATACTTAGTCCATTTCATACAACAAGAGTTCTCGAAAATACATTATTACAATACTAAGTTCAGTGTGCGGAATTTAAACAGCGGAATTGAAATAAACATCTAACGATAGGATACAAGGATCCGTCTGTGCCCATCAGAAGAATCCTCCACACAACAACCATTCCTCAAGCTGCACTTGCAACAGGGGTAAATAAACCCTGAGTACACAATATACTCGTAAGACTTACCCGACTAGTGGGAATAATTTTCCGACTCCAAAGAATATGCTAAGCTTTATGGTTTGCTAGGTTTCCCTTTTGACGAAAAACATTGCTAGTAGTGAATACTTATATATGTTTCTTATTAGTAGTCATGATTAGTTCATTATATAAACATTCTATGTAAGCATATGTTCTACTTTCAAGCAAGAGTTGAGCAATCAGATCTATTTCATCACCCTTCATCTTCTAGTTCTTACAAGGTGCTAGATCATAGACAAGTCGTACCGTATTACACAGTGATTCACGCAAACCAATGTATCTCAGCTGGGTACCCCGAAACACACCTTGCCTGTACCACAGGCACAAGCAAGACTAATCCACCACTCTCCTATCAAAGGGTCTAGGTCTCCGTCTAAATTTGAACTCTAAGCCCCCACTCCTGAGTCCCGGACTTAGTGCGGTGCATAGACCTTCACCATCCCCGTCTCCAATCAGTCGGTCCGAAAGAGTCGGAACCCACGACAAGAGAGCAACGAGTCTTTCCGCTCCCATAAGCAAGTATGTGCTTATGATAATAAGTCTGTGACCTGACTAGAATCCACAGCAATGGACGGTCCTTAACCGACACGGACGGGGAAAACAGTGTAACTAAGCTATGTCCCGTTGACCGCGGGACACAACCTATTACACCCATCAATACTCATACCATATCCCTGTCCGGACTCCATTTCTTTTCACCATTTTATCATGAGAGTAATAATAATAACCACCTATTGTGAGTAACGGCAGGTTACTCACGCTACCGATAGTCTAAGCATAACAGCTACTCGACATATGCTAGTAGGACTCATAGATAGGTTTATCTATGCATGTAGTTTCAATATAAATCATGTAATGTAAATGCACATCACATATATATATCCAGTGATTATTCAAAATAAGGGTTATGCATCGAGGCTTGCCTTGGGCAGGCAGATTGTCAGCTAAGTCAGTCAGTGACGGCTCTGGGACCTCCTCCTGCACAAGGACCTCCTCCTCGTACTCCGCGATCACCTCCTCGTACTCCGACGATCACGAACTCCATCAACTCGTTCTCTATATGCATGCAACGATGATGCAACACTTAGTATTTTGGCAACAACAACTCTTAAAATAAGAATACACATGCTAAGCTACTAAGCTAGCTCTAATGACTAAGATATTAAGCTAATCATTATCTCTACCAAATAGATTCCAAGCTCACCCTACAAGTGCTTAATTTTTATAAACCAATATCATGCCATTATTCCTTTAGTCTTAATGGGTATTTAGCTACCATATTAAGTAGTCTATTTTAGGGCCACAAAAATTATAATGAGCACATAATAATACAATGAACCTACTGTAAAAATTTCATGAACAAAACTATTACCAATTTGCCATAAAAATTTCTACAAATATTAACCTAAATAATGTTAAACACTCTCAAATGATTTAATAAGACTTAGCATCAACTCAGGCCTACATAATCTAGTCATACCATCATATAGACAATATTTTTAGAAACTCAACAAAATTTATTTCATAATTTTTGGACACCTATGCGAATTGATATTAATTTTTAAAGTTTAGCTCAGAAATTAAAACATAAAGCTATTTCTAATTCCTTAAGAAAAGAAAAACGAATTCACCAGCTCGTCCCACAACCACGTGGACTTAGCCCACTTGCGCGCAGCGCGCGCGCACGCACGGCCCATGCACACAGGCCGGCCCACGGCGGGAGACAACCCATGCGCTAGCGCTTTTGCAGAGACGCCCCTACGCTACGTAGTATTCGCATGGCGCTATTCGCACTATTCCTATAGACAGCAACTTTACAAGAACACCCTCATAATCTCCCTCCTTTACAACGATATGGTCCTTGACCAT